TAGTGGGAGCGGGGAGGAAACATTTTGGAACTAGAGGAAAGTTGTATTTCCATCATTGCTACATCGCACACTGACTGACTCGTCTCCTCCCCGAGACCTCTCTGCAAGGGGATCTCCAATGGTCGTCCATTTTTCTATGAGCTTTTTGAAGCCCTCTGTATTCTGTTTTGTACCTCGCTTTATTCACTTGAAATGTGGATTTGGGAAATCATCTTACACCAAACCCATACAGGTCTACTCGTTCCCTCGCTGACAAATATGTTATTCTGAAGTAGTTCCAACCCTAAAGACAAATTGTCAGAGCAGTACAGAGGATTCCTTCCTGTGTATCCTTTGCCCGAAGACATGTGTGTCTGTTTCTTTCAAACTGCGTTCTTGAGGGAGGCATAGTTAGCTTGCCAGAGGTTCTCACTGTCAGCATGGGCACAGTGGTAGAACACTCATCGCTCAGAAAAGCTCCTTCCTGGCCTCTTGCAGCCCACCTTCCCTCCTGCCCCCACCCTACGCACCCCTCGTCTGGTTCCGTAGACTTGCTCTTCTAAAGTGCCCTATAAGTGGGGTCCTGTGATGGGTGGCCTTTTTGTATCTGCCCCCCCCACCAACTCAGCACAATGCATTTGAGGCCCGCTTATGCTCTGCCCATACCAGCCGTCCTGCCCTTGCTGCTTGCTCAGCTTTCCTTCCTGAGGTGCAGGCGGCACACTTTCTGGATGACCTGTTCGGGACACGTTGCCGCGCTGGCTTCATCCTCCTCTTCTTTCTGTACTTGTGGACCGTTTGGAGGGGGCTGCTCCTCCAGGTGTGTGGACTGTGAACAAGAGTATTCGTCCCATCACCCTCACCCACCAAGGACAGTGGGGAGATTTCAGCATCCACCGAATCCCAATGTTCTTCTCTGCTTCCGTTCTGAAACCCTGCCATGTCTCCTCCCCTCTTGCCTTCCCCGCCACAGCCCAGGATCACATAGTGGCCGTCTCTTGGTGGGCGTGGTTGGTTTCCCTCAAGTTGACCTGGACTCATGGTGGTCCCATTGTGTGTACAGCCACACTGTTCTATAGGGTTTTCAAGGTTATAACCTTTCACCAGCATCGCTTCCCGGACACCTCTGGGTGGATTGAACCAACAACTTGTTGGCTAGGAGTCAAACTTGTAACCATTTGCAACCACCCAGGGATGCCTTGTGTCTCTTAAAAAAAAAAATCACTGCCATTGACTAGATCCAGGTTCACAGCAGCCCAATATAACATAGGTCCCACGGTTACTTTGTCTACTGCCCCTTTTTGGGGAAAAAAACCTAACTCTGCACACACACACACACACACACACACACACACACGCAATGTAAAACTTTTG